ACAAGTTATAAGAATGTGTGTGCATGTTTATATATAACAAGCATGTTTGATAGATATGTGTGAGAGAGTTCAAAAGTCAAAAGGAAGACCATAGAAGCAGCATTACTATCTTCATGCATCTACATCTGAAAGCTAGAGTAAAGAGAGAATATATCTTTTCATAGGCTTAAAGAGTGCTCCCTAGCAAGTGCTTTTGGCAATACCAAGTGGGGTAACCTACAAATGAAACCTGAAGGAAAATAATTAATGTTGATGGACTTATAATTAGATATTTGTATCTCTAAATGTGAAAAGAAAAAAAAATAGAATCCAATTGTAAGAACTAAATTTACTTTAATAAACAAAACAAGAACAGTATAATTTTTCTGTCAATTTTGGTTGAAAAAAATTGAATGAGTAATTTGTGTTTTTTTGTTGATAATAGACTAAAAGATACAAATGAGAATTTTAAAAATGATAAAAAGGAAAAATTTAGCCATGATGTGAGGCAGATAACTGGAAATTAAATTTTTGATAAATACTTTAACACTTTGAGCCCTGAATACTGTTTTACCGACAGTAGAAAAAAATGACATAATGCCCAGCCACTGTTTGAACAGCGGTAGAGAAAAATGACGTAATGCCCAGCCACTGTTTGAACAGTGGTAGAAAAAAATGACATAATGCCCAGCCACTGGTTGAACAGTGGGTAAACTACTTTTATATCTACCATGAAACACTACATACCAATTTAAAAAATAATGGATTCTATCAGAAACTAGTATTTCAGCAGATGACCATATATAGCAAGTAGCAAAAAACCTAAAACAAAGTATTATAAATATTTATTTAATCATTATTCACAAAACCTCAGTGGTCTTTCATCTGTAATATGGCTGTATTAGATGCAGGGCAGTTTTTTTTGAACATTTAAAAATCAAAAAAATATCTTATATGAAGGTAAATACAATAGTTGAAATATGTTAATATTCTTTATACAGGAAAACAAATGCTTAAACAAATGCTTAGAGTGTAATAAAATTTGCTCTGAACATGAAAATTAGATACATATCCACATAAAATTATTCAAAGTTATTTAGTAATTTATTTGTTACTATCGCTATGAATACAAAAACATATTGGTTAAATTTCATTTAATTTTTTTTTTTAACTCACAACTTGATTATTATTTAAACATTTTTGTCAGTAGACAATGTAGCAGTCAAGAAAAAAAAATTAATAATAAAGAAAAATTAAAAGTTAAAACAAAAATACTTAAAATACAGATAAAAATGGTAATTAACAATAAAGAAAAAGATTATAAAAAAATAGTTAAATAAATATAAAATACTCCCATGATGCATCAGAACAAATGTTTCTAAAGCCAATTCAAACAAAAATCAAAATTATTGCTCTCTTCATTTTTTGAATGCCACATGAGGCCAATACTTTAGACAGTTTTCTGATAAAACATATTGCCACTAACAGATAAGCAAAACCTTTTTATTTTTGTATATTTACATGTTCTTTAAAATATACAATCATTTCTCTGAAATGTATACTAAAGCATCTTATTTTTGTCTATGCTTATTCCATTGTATCTTGTATATGATTTTGTTTATTTTATAATCCTAATGATGACCTTTTATTACTTTTTTTATTTGATCGAGCTAGCTCAGACATTCATGAGTCTATCATGTCAAACATCATGGTTCTGTGTCAAGGTCGAAAGGTCATTAGGGTGGCATTCTGTGTTGTAACATAGTTGGTCAATGTAGGTGATTGCTGGGTGACCAAACATCTTGTCCCATGACTAGGTGACCAGTAGACCAATCACAAGTTCTCGTTTTGCATCAGTGTCTTTCAAAGTATATTCTGCATTCGACTAAAATTGTAGAAATATTAGGGATGGGTCCATAGAGTTGTGATTTAGTTGGATTTTGTCTCCAAGAGATGTTTAGTTCTCAGCATCTGAGTGTAGGCACCATCAAGCTTAGATTCAAATATGCAATGCCCTTTTATCTCCTCCCCACCAGCAAATACTTTAAAAAAAAAAAAAAAGGCAGTAAAGCTACAAGAACCCCCCCCCCCAAAAAAAAAAACAAGGTGTTACAAGGTGTATAAGAATTAGGAACAGAAACATTAATAATGAGCAGAAAGAGAAAAGCATAATCAGGAGTACAGTAGATAATGATTGACACCGCAGTTAAATTTTTTCAAAGTAAAGTTGACCGGAAAGCATAGAGTCAGAAGGGTGTTCCACACGCAAGACAAACAAGAGAAGAAACTTGTCATGGAACTTATGGCTACATCTAGCCAGCTCAACTGTAAATTGATGAGATCTCAATGCCAATCTAATACTGCACTTAAATTCAAAAAGCCTAGTTACTATAGTGAAGAACAATATTTATTTGTCTATAGATACAAAATGTGGCACAAGGCCAAAAAGAGGAATGGGGAAAAAGGATGGCCTTTTGTCTTAAATTTAAACTTAGCTAGCCACAATCACTGACACAAATATATCACAATATTCCTTACACCAAAACAACACATTCTAATTTACCATTCTTACTACATTCACCATAATACCACAATGTCTCTATGAAAGTCTTAACTAGTCCCCATATGCACAATTCTTGTCTGTGGTGGGAGGGGATTAAAATAATTTAAAATCTAAACCCCAATATGTATTTACAATCTGAAATAATCTATGTACCATAGTGAAATGCTCATCCAAACAATTACCATGAAAGTATTTATAGAAAAGGCACAAGGAGGCAATCTTATAGTGGTGGGAAGTAACTGAAGTCAAGCTGCCAGATCGATGAATAATATTGCTAATTTTTTTGATTTTATCAAGGAGCTCAAGGTAAATAAAAAGGGCACTGGACCATATCTAGCAGCAATATTCTAAGCATGGATGAATGGTAGACAGATAGATATGTAAAATAGATTCTGGAGAGAAAAATATTTCTGCATACCATTGTGATGGTGATTTTTCAAAATACACACAAACATGCTTTGTAATTATTTTAAATTTATCTGTTTTAGTTATGGAATCTTTTGCAAAACAAGCATTTTAATATAAAGGAAGTTGACTGGAAATTGGTAGAAATGAAAAATGGCATTAAATGTTTGTTATATTTTATCACAGTTGCAATAAGTTTGTCTTTGTAATTTATCCCTGAAGATGATCTTGGAAAATATTGAAAGTACTTTGGTTAGAAAAAACTATGGCACCTTCGCTGATGAATTTCATCTTAACATCAAGAAACTGATTAGAAAACTGGAAAGGATCAGTATGAAAGTAAATAGACATAATATGTCTATGTTATTCAATTATAATAATACTAATATATCTGTGCTATTTTATTTGTGCCATTTCTTTTATCTAAGAAAAATAAAATGATCTGATAAAGCTTAATCCAAGATCAAAAAGTTAAAAGTTCAAATAGTTATTAAAAGCATGAAACTAAAAAGAAATATCAAACTTCAAATATATTTTTATGCTTTTCTCATCAATGTATCACTGGCAGTGAATTTTCTGTAATCTTTTAGCAAAGTACTTCTCTCCTTCAAAATGTAAAGAGCAGTAATTTATCCATCTCAAAAACTGAAGACTTTGAAAACTCAGCTCTAACCACTTTGGAAATCTACCTTCTTGATCACAACCCCCACCCACCTGACCTGAAAGCAATTTCCTTTTTGCTGTCACATTTCTAACGGGTTTAGAGGTCCTAATAAATTACTTTTGCATCTAGCAGTGCAATGGACAAGAAAATGGATTGAAAACTGTATGGAGGCCATCTTTACTGTCCTTGCCACTTGAAAATAGTCTTCAGTTATTCAATAAAAGCCTCAATCAGATTGGAAGGCAGAAGAAAGGCAAGCAACAGAAACTGCAAGGCCAATTCAATTGCAACCCCAACAATGACAGAAACAAACCAACTTGTCAACTCAAGCAGATTTCATGTAGGAAAATGAGTTTTTCCTCTGTTTTTCAATATCATATTTTCCCTAATCTGGAAAAGTTATCTCCCTTCACAAAATATTAGTTCTGATTTATCTATTCTAACTAATTTCACCTGAAGCAAGGTGATAGAGCCACTAAGATGCAAGGGGTTACTGAGATTGAAAGAAACTAAGAAAATGAAGAGTGAACAATAAAAGAACAGGGCTCAAGTAGACAAAACGACAATTGACTTTAAAATTTTTGAAGATCATAGTTGACAAAAAAGGAAGCAGCTGGAATGATTGTTTCATTTTTTTATGTCTTATCAACCCTTTGCAGATTATTTAAAGCCAAAAAATATTTCTAGTAAGAATTTGTTTTGGTGATAAGGATTGAGTGATACAAGTCTTACTAATTAACCTATAACTGGAGAGAAAAGAGGTGGATTCATACCTTTCCCAGGGTATTTGCATGTAAGTGAATATAAACAAATTCAACAGGAATTGGAATTCGGCTCTCTGATTAACAATTCCAAACCATTAGCCATTACACCACCCACACAGCATCTGATATTCCTAAGAGGTCACCCATCTAGGTACTGACTAGGCTCGATGTTGCTTAACTTCAGTGATTGTATGGGAGCCGGTGTTTCATCATGATGTGGCCATAAGCAAAAAGCCAGAAGAGAGAACAAGGGCGAAGCACTAAAAAAAATTACTAGAACAGTTACATCTAGCAATTTCTACAGTAAAATGATGAGACCTAACTGCCAATCGAGTACTATACTACAATCAAGGTAATGAAGAGTGTAGCTCATCAGAACAATTAATCTGAAAATATTTATAGAAGAGGCAAAAGGAAGTCATGTTATGATGGTGAGAAGGTGACTGAAGCCAAGATGCCAGGTCAGGACAGACAATGTATCAGATTCTGCCTTGGATTTTGTCAAGAATCTCGATATAAAACGGAAGCACCAGACGAAATGTGGCAGCAATATTCAATACATGCTCTAATTGTAGACTTATAAATGAGCAAGATAGATTTGGGCGAGAAAATTTGTTAAGCACAACATAATGAAATGACTTTCCTAGCAGCATACTTAGCAACTGATTTAATATAAACATTTCATTTAAAGTCAGTGGAAAATATGAAACCAATAAGGTGCAGTGAGTTGCTCTCCTGACTGAAGCCAAGATACCAGGTTGGGACTGATAACATTGCAGATCCTTCCTCTAGATATATAGTAGAAGCTACAGACCAGATATGGCAGCAATATTTGATCTATAGACAAATGGTAGACTTATAGAGGCACAAAATAATGTACCACAGAGGAAAACTTATCTATGTTCTAAGCAAAGACACATTCCATTAACAGAAAACAGCAAATCTTGGGTTTTCTCAAATTGAGGACTGCTAGACAGTTTCTTTCTATATCTGGGGGAAGATCTATTCCCAAAAAGAAAATATTTCATGTACTTTTAAGCTGTAGTATGTGCTAGGGGAGGCAGATTTAGCCCAGACTACTTATCCTGGGCTAAAATGCAACTACTCGGTCTGGTGCCTGTAAACTGACTGAAATTGACTGCCACTTTCATCACTGTTACGGTGTGACATCACTAAGCAGCCATCATGTGACTCATGTGACTTTACCTTGATCAAAAGGAGGTAAGTTTTGTTTGTTTAGTGGCATATCAACACTTTATGGGTCATTTAATGCCAAAATTTAATTTTCTTGGGAGCATTAGTAATTTAAAATATTGTTAGTAATTTTTTTTTTAAACTATGAAAATGTATTGTTTGCATTTTTAATGTAGCTTCCTTATACCTTTTCTATAAATACTTTCATGGTAATTGTGTGGATGAGCTATGGTACCTAGACTTCATGAATTTAAGCCCCAAGATCTCATCAATTTACATTTGAACTGGCTAGATGTAGCCATATGTTCTATGTTAATAGTTTCTTTTCTCACACTTCTTGCCTGTGAAACTCCCTTCCAGCTCTATACTTTCCAGCCGACTTTAATCTGCAAAAATTTAAATGCAATGTCAACTGCTATCTACTGCCCTCATGGTTACTCTTTCCTTTTCCTGCTTTTTATTAATGTTTCTGTTCCTAATTCTTCCACACCCTGTAACCCTTTGTGTCTTAGTGGCTTTACTGCCTTGCACGGGGTGATACTGATTAAAAAAAAAAAAAAACACAATTTGAATGCATTATTTTGAAAAATTTTGACCACACAATATATTCACTCAATAACGAGTGTGTGATGAAGAATTTTTTTGCCAACAGGATCAGAAATAATCATTGCATCTGTTTTGTTTAGACAATTTCCTCATCTTTATAAAACAAGGTAAATTGTCCTAATAAAACATATACAATGATTTAAACATGCTTAACAAAATTCAAACAGAGAAGGACTAGAAATATCCCCCAATTTTTTTTTCCTTTCCTCTGCTGATCAAATTTTTCTCCTTCCACCTTAAGCCAAAAAAGAAAAAAAAAAAAGTTTTTGATTCCCAGAATATCTTCCCCACTTCCCACACTTCTTCAGCCCATTATCAATGTTCAGATAAAGATAAATAACAACATTGATATTCCATCAAAGACAGACAGACAGACAAATTGATTCCTTAGAAAGGAATTCTCAAAAGCAAACCCAGAGTCCACATTAACATGACTAGCCTTTCCTGATAAAGATGTTTTTTTTCTTTCTCTCTCAAAACATTCCAGAGATGGTTATGACCTTCCCTTCACAAAGCCAAAATTGCCTCTTATGAAAAATGGACTAGATTAGCTGTTTGCTTCAGTGATGCATTTCTCTCAATTTTTCTTTGTAGCAAAGAGCTAACAATTTTCATTTTTTTTTTAAAATTCTGTGTCTTTTCAGGGCATATGTGATTGTGGCTAGGTTCCTTTTCTTTATTATCTCTGTATTGCGGGGACTCCTTGGGAAATATAGTAAAAGGGTTTCCTATTGAATTTAAAATGGTCGAGAAATGGAATTTATATTTCTCCTAGGTTTGGTTTGTTTTACTGCATATCAACCTCAATGAGTTATTTAATGCCAATAAGATTTTTATTGCTGGTAATATTTTTTCCAAAAATGTATTGCTGATAATAACATATTGCAGGTAATAATTTTTCCTCAATAATTTATTGCTGGTATTAAAAACCTATTTATACACTTTCATGTGTTTTGACGCTAGTTTGGGGCTTAACTATTTGACCATAGTTGGGACCCTAACAGGTGCTACCACCCTGGGTCAGGGTGGATCTGTGAACACCAGGAATTAAGAGGTGGTTCTACACTTCTCAAAACCTCCTAATTTGCTGTCAGATGTAGTTTATCGTCTTACCCAGGACAGTATTTCTCCTAGATTGACTACCACTCAAGTCTAGAGAGAATAAAATACACTGTTATTCACCCTGTAGAAGATAGGAATAGAAGAAATTAACCCATAACTTTCCTAATGGATTAGTTTGGAATTTGAGCTCAGCTTGCTGAGAGCCATTACATTATCTGCAACATAACAATTCTTATGCATTTAATTTTAACTAGATGTTCCAAAGGACATTATTCATGATAATCATTTATATATATTAATAAAAATTAAAAATAAAAAAACATGTATATTTCTTTCTGCTACTTCATTTTCAAAAAGATTTATAGCAATCTACTCTTCTTTATGCCATGACCCTTTAGGATGTTGGCAAGCATGGCTCTCCACAATTTCCTCTCCCTTGTAGCTCTTAGTAATATTTGTCTTTTTGAAACCCTGTTCTGCAATTCATTTACACAAGCTCATGTGCTGCTTTACTATATCTGTCATGCCTACAATACGTCCTGTGAGCATCAGATTTTCCAAGCTCTCTTTCCTCATTATGTGTCCAAGAAATTTCAGTTGTATCTTTCTGATGTTAAGTATCCTTTCTGTTTCCATGTTCTGTAAAACTTAGTTCTCACTTAGAACAAATTAAATTCTTTATTTCAGAGAAGTTATTATTTACACACTGACTATTTTTCCCACTTTTTTGTTGATATTGTGGAGGTAGTCACTCACACCATAGGAGTCATAAATTTAGGCTTGTGTTCATGAGATAAAACAGTACAAACAAACGTATACAATAGCAATAAAAAAAAATATGGTAATTTCATACAATTTTATTTATATGTATTGGTGTGTGTGTGTGTTTATTTTACATTCAATTGTGATAATTTTCATATTATAAAAGGGAGTAAGTCCCTCCGTAATATCACAAGTCCTATCACAGAGGGAAGTTATACATGTATAGTCATCCTGACAGCTCTTGGGCGAAGAGATTTAAACTCACGTCTTTTGGCGGGATGTCTGTACTTCCGATAGGAAAAGTCTCTGAAGCATGCTGGGAGTAATTTTATTATTTTTATTTATTTATTTTAAACAAGGTTTAATTTTTATTTTATTTAATTGATAATTTTCATTATTATTTCATATTTTATTTTTTATTTATAATAATAACAATTTTCCTATAATATTACAATGTTTCAGCTGTTGCGTTTTATCAGGTGATTGTTGATCTGGATGACAATAACTGGGCAGTAACAAAAAAAAAAAAAATATCCATGAACATGGACAGTGATTTTTAGAACAATCAACCACTATAAAGGGCCCAGTTTAAAATTCTCTGAGGGTTACACAGATCGACAATTGCCTGATGAAGGTCAGAGAGCACAACAGTCGAAACATTATGATAACAACAACAACAAAAGTGGGGACAATAGTCAGTGGGTAAATAATGTAAATAAATTCTTTATATTCATTTTAATGCATCAAATAGTAATGTCGGGTCATTTTTCTTTTTAATCTAAAGTGCTAGTAATTAGACAGCTACATAATAATGTACATTATTTACAGAAGGAAAGTATTAGTACTGAACTGTTATGTAATATCAGTCCTTGTATATAGCAGTAAATGCTTGACAATCTCCTCACAGATGAAGAGATTTGAGGCAACAGTGATGTGATCCTACATAAAGATGCTGAGAATATCATGGACTGAACATGTGAGCAATGAGCAAATTTTAAGGAAAATGGCACATACTTAGAATCAGAGATACCTGGAATTTTTTAGAGCATCTAATAAAGAAAAAGGGCTTGCAGAATAGGAACTAGGAGGGATAGCAAAAAGACGATAGGAAATTGTGGAGAGCCATGATCACCTGTGTTCTGAAAAGGCATAGTACATAGAAAAAAAAAGAAAAAAAGAAGAATTTACATACAGGCTCTTTCTCTCATTTTTGTTATCGCAATGCTTCAATTGCTGTGCTTTCTGGTCTTCATCAGGTGCATGTAGATTCAAGAAACCTTCAAGGAATCTCGAACTGAACCCTTTATCATATGCACCAAATTCATGAACCAACACTGAGAATTTGGTGTTATAGTAATTGTGAATTCAAACCCTAGAATAGGCAGTGTATACTTAGGTGCAGTGGAAACAGGTGAGCAATAACTGAGCACTACTAAATAAGAATACAGGTATACCTCACCCTATGTCCTTAATTGGTTCCAGAGATCATGACTTAGATTGAAAAATGTCTTAAGTCAAAATAACTATACTATAAACTGCAAATAAGCACACCTTATAATATTTATGACATGTATGTACAATATTCTTGATTTCTACCTTATC